AACGTTCAGGCCACTAAAGGCAGACAAAGAAACTTACTAAATCACCATTCTGGCTGAGCTGGCTCTGCTCTGCTACAAAATCCATTTTCAGTTAGCTTGGATATACTATTCCAAAACTCTTCCACGTGAGACACTTAAGTCTACACAAGGATAATAATAATAATGATGATAAAATGAACCCTAGCAAACAAAGAACTGTGACTTAAGAGCTGAAGGAACACCATGCAGAGACAATGTAACACAGAAACTGGGCCTTTAGAAAGTAACTTAGAAATCAAGTCACCTCGAGGAGCCTTGGTGGCTCAGTCAGTTGAGTGTCCAACTCTTAATATAGGCTCAGGTCACAGTCCCAGAGTCGTGGGATTGAGCCCTGTGTTGGGCTCTGTGCTGAGCTTAGAGCCTGCCTGGGATTCTCTTTCTCTCTCCCTCTACCCCCTCTCTCTTGCTCTCTCTAAAATAAAAATAAATAAAATATTAAAAAAAAAAGAAATCGGGTCACCTCAGATATTTTTTCCCCCATGACTACAAGTGAAATATTATCTCCTGTATTTTCATTTCTACTAAGTGTCACGTTTAATTTGGAAATCTGACAAATACCAAGAACACTTGCCCCATAGTTCACAGTATTACTGAGAGGAGGAAATGGGACAAAAAGAGGCAAAAGCTTGTGTGTGCTGTAAAGTGCTAAATGATGGCATCATCAGGCCTCTGGCTCACAGGAGAAAAGAGGACAGGTGGGATCTCCATGTCATGGCCTTTGCAAGGATTGCTCACCAATGATTATCATAAAATTTTAGTCCTTCAAATGTTGATGAGCAGAGGCCACACTACCTTCAACACTTTCCTTAAGAATTAAAATTAATTGGGGGTGCCTGGATGGTTCAGTCAGTTGAGTGGTTGAGCACCCAACTCTTGATTTTGGCTCAGGTCATGGTCTCATGGTTGGGAGATCGAGCCTGGCATGGGAGTGGGGAGACTTAAGATTCTCTCTCTCTCTCTCTTTCTTCCTCTTTGTCTCTTTCTCTCTCTCCCTTTGTCTCTTCCCTGCTCATCCTCTCTCTAAAATTAAAAAAAAAAAAAAAAA